CATCTTGCAATTTGAATTATTTTCCCTTTATTTTTTGCTATCTCTAAGCCCACCTGTTTTCTCCTATTTCTAGATTGCTACTCACTGAACTTATTTTTCTCTTTTATAGATGAGTGTTACTCAAAAGATACTTTCACTCTTGAATTTGATGGAGAAATATAAAGAAATGTTTTTAAAATCTCCTAAGTGAAAAACAGCCCCAAACAAATACAGTCAATAAATCTCTGACAAAGTAGTAAAGGCAATTCACTGGAAAAAGGATAGTCTTTTCAACTAAGAGTGCCGGAGCAACTAGATTCCATATGTAAAGAAAAAAAAGGTTATCTAGACACAAAATTTATGCCTTTCACAAAAATTAACACAAAATGGATCACAGACCAAAGTATAAAGAACAAAAAGAGAATACTTCTAGGTTACATGGAAGAAAATCTAGGTAACCATGAGTTTACTAATGATTTTTTAGATAGAACACCAAAAGCATACCCTATGAAGGAAAAAATTGGTAAGCTAGAGTTCATTAACACTAACAACTTCTACCATGCAAGAGATGTTACTAAGAGATTGGAAAGAGAAGCCACAAGTTGGGAGAAAATATTTACAAACAACATATCTGATTAAATATACAAAGAACTTTTTAAAGTTAACAATAAGAAAACAATTTGACTTAAAAAATAGGTGAAAGACCTGAGCAGAGTTCACCAAAAAGAAAAAAACAGATGGCAAATAAGCACAGGAAAAATGCTCAACATCTAGTCACTGGGGAACTGTGAATGAAAATGATGAGATATCACTGCACACCACCAGAATAGCTAAACTCTAAAACACTTACAAAACCAAATGTGGCAAGAATGTGGAGCAACAAGAACTCTCACGCAGTGCTGATGGAAATGCCAAATGGGGTAACCACTTCGGGGCTCCTTAGAAAATCTAGCAACTGTGTGTGCAGGTATATGCCTAAATGAACTGAAAACTTATATCCACACAAAAGCCTCAACATCAGTGTTTACAGCTGCTTTATTCATAACTGCCAAGAATTGGAAGCAACCAAGCTGCCCTTCAACAGGTGAATGGAGAAACAAACTGTGGTATATCCACAGTGGATACTACAATGGCGTATTATCCAGCAACATAAAAAAAGAGCTATTAAGTCATGAAAAGACATGAAAGAAATTTAAATATGTATAACTAAGTAGAAGAAGTCTGTCTGAAAAGACTGCATATTGTATGACTATAACTGGCTGATATTCTGGAAACTGCAAAAGAATAGAGACGGTAAAAAGGTGAGCAATTGCCAGAGGGGAGACGTGACTAGATGAAGCACAGGGCATTTTTAGTGTGGTGAAACCATTCTATATGGTACATTCTTTGGAAGTGTACAATATAGCAAATGTACTACACCAGTGCAAATGGTACTAATGGGGGGAAATGAGGGGCACAAAGGAGATAAGTGAAAACCCTGTATTTGCTATGTAATTTTTCTATAAATACCTGAAACTAGTCTTAAAAATAAAGTCTGGGCCTCCCTGGTGGCACAAGGGGTTGACTCAACCTATGAAGCAATCTGCAGCCTCTGCAGCACGAGTTCAATCCCCAGGCGGCCACGGAGCAACCCACATGGCACAGCAGACCTCTCCTGACTTGCCCACTGCTACCCTCAGCAGTGTGTTTCAGTCAATCTGCCTGTTCTGCTCCCCACTCTGTCTCTGGTGAATCCTCTCACCCGCCGCACCTCTGGCCTCTACCTTAGCTCTTGTATGCATAAATAAATCTTTTTAAAAAAAAAATAAAGTCTATTAAATTTTTAAAAAGCTTACATGTAACATGCTACATAACTAAAAATGAATCAAAATAGAAAAGAAAACCAAGACAATACAAAAATCAAAGCTTAAAACAAGTTGACTAATATGAAACCAATTTATCAGTAGTAAAAATAGATATTAGGATAAACTTCCTTAAGAAAAGACAGTGACTTAGATTGGGCTAAAAAAAAAAAAAACACAAAACAACTCAACATATCTAAAACAAAAAGACAAAGGTAGAACACTAAAGAAAGATATATTAAACAACTGCAAATAAGGACATGGGCGGGCGGGGCATGAGCTGGGGTGGGTGGGTAGCTCATGTTACCAAAAAAAAAACCAACAAAGCAAAGGGCAGAATACAATATGTAAATAAAATAGGAGGTTTTTGATATTAAAAAAAGGAGGCACAATTCACAATACAACATGCAGAAGTCTTTTGAGCAATGAAATACATAAAGTGGAATCTGTTGAAATCTCAAGAGAGTCTGACAGAAACACAAGAAAATGGAAACTTGAATTTACTTTTCTTAATCACCCATAGACCAAATGGAAAACTTAAGAAAATAATAGCAATTAAAGATGTTGATTTAATAAATTTATACAGACTTCTGTAACTTACAGGGAATGATTTTTTCCAGAACCAATGGAATCTTCATTTTTAAAAAATCATTGTATAGTAAGTCCCCAAAATTAAAAAAAATCTACAAGCAGAAATTTTTATTAATTTCTAACTGAAATTTTTATCCTTTTTCTAATCAAAATTTAATAAACATAAATCAATATAATGAAATGTGAATTTAAAACTTCTATATATTGAAATGATGCCATTTATTTTCTTCCAAATGTTTAACCTACAATCAGAGCATCAAAGTAACCAGGAAATCAGCTTAAATATCACATTCGGATCTTGCTCAGAGTTAGCAGGCATAAGAGAAAAGAAGCCAATAATTACAGTCAAATTCTTCATCCCTTCTCTGGGGCCAAAGCCTACTACCAGACAGTCTTCAAGGCACAGAGACAGGAGAACAATATTCTTAAATAAATGGTTTTCTTGACAACCAGACTGAAACTGAGGAAGGCTCACCCATGCCTCTAGCAATTTGGCCCCACGTGAATGAAGAGCTCTTCCGCAGAGCCAAGCTCCTGGAAAAGATCAAATAAGGATCTATTCCAATACTGAAGGACAAGCAGGTACAAAAGAAACCGGGCGCACGCTTAAAGCACTTCTACATTGTGTTTAAGTGTGACAGCTGCCCTGAGAAAAAGCACCTGTGTAAACTGGACTATTTGCTTTTTTCAGAAAATGTCATTTTTTCCTAAAAGAGCAACTGATAAGCTATAGTTACAAAGACTTGGGTATGTGGTAACCATGTTTTGTTTTTGTTTTTTTAATGATGGAAGGAGATCTGTCTCACTGATAAAATTTAAACCTTCTAGTAACACTAAGAATTTTGGTTGTATACACCACTGTGAGCTTCATAGCTCTGATACTTAGACTTTGCTGGTAAGAATGGTGGTGATAGGGCCTCCCCGGTGGCGCAGTGGTTGAGCGCTGCGTTGAGAAGCTGCACGCAGCCTCTGCAGCACCGGTTCGATTCCCGGCTGCTGGGCGAGGGTCCCACATGGTGCTCAGACCCCTCCTGCCGCCCACTGCGCCCCTCAGCAGTGTATTTCATCGGTCTGCCTGCTCTGCTCTCCTCTCTGGCTCTGGTGAATTCTTTCACCCTCCCGCGCTTCTGACTGTACCCAGTGCTTGTATAAATAAATAATCTTTATAAAAAAAAAAAAAAGAATGGTGGTGATAATAAATCTGATCTTTTGATACTGGAGTCAAGAGATTACTGGGTTTAAATATAATTCTGCCACTTATTGTCTGATTTAGGAAGGTTACTTAGCTTCTCTCAGCTTTAGTTTCCTCATCTATAAAATGTACGTCACAGCTCAATTCCTGTCTTTGTTACCTACTAGCAGTGTAACCCTGGGCAACTTTCCTTGCCTCTCTTGGCTTCAGTGCTGGCACGAAGAAATGTTTTAGTACCGAGCACTGTGCCTCCTTTCCTGTTTTCTTGCTTCTCCTTCATGCTGAAAAGGGACAACACCATAGGGTTGCTGACTCAACCCTTTTCTGAGCCTAGGTGGTATCTTGGTTGAAAAGGCTTTCATTACCACAAGAGCAATAAAGATTATCTTTATATCCACAATTTATTCAGGCGAAGTAGAGGGCTATGTCAATAAGAACTTGAAAGAATAATTTTATGTGCAAATTTAATGTACCTAAAGGCTGGGGGGAGGAGGGGAGGCCGGGAACCTGACAGCTGACTGGCCCATGCACACCCTGAAAATGTGAGAGAGAAAGTCTCTGTGAGAATTCATTTTCAGAATCAAAGCACCCACTGTATGTTGCCGTATTTCAAGCCTAATCCTGGGAAAAGCACATAAAACTAGAAGAGAATGCCAGTCACATAAGAAATTCAAGGACTGGAAAACCAATGCAACAGAGCACAGTAATGTTCAAGTTATGATGTACAGACATAGAAACTCTACCTTTAAGTGCTGTGTTTTTAATATAATTGTTTAATGAGGAACAGAGTCTAGTTATTGAGAGAAAAATTGAACAACTGACTGTTGACAAAGAAAACTGTACTGCAGACCAAAAAGGAAAGAATGCAAAAACTCTGGCATCATATAGATTGGGAATCAAATCTTGGCTCTGTCATCTCCCACTGATGTAACCCTTCAGCAATGAGATTCGCTGACCCTGAGTTTCCTCTCTGCAGAATAAGGATCCAAATGCCCACCTCACAGAGATCTTGGGGACCCAGACAAGATTATTAGGTCTGGAGTGCTCAGCGTCTTGCCCAACTCATGGTAGGATCTAAACAAATGTAATTCCCCTCCCAATAACCTCTCAAACCTCTGGACTCCATTTTTGACAGCAACATGAATAAAAGGTTTGGTAACTGTTACAATGCATTTCCCCACCTCTGAATTCACAAACTGACCAGAGTCTATCATGCAAGCAAAATCTCTGAGATAAGCCTGCAATACAGAGGCCCACGATCTGGTGAGTGACCTGACCTTGATCAATGTGGATACCTGGTTCCCAGGCCACTGCCAGAGAGACTGAGCAGACCCAGAGCATAGCAGAGGAGGCAAGGAGACAGTCACAAACTAGAGCAGCCAAAGAGGAAGGATTACTTGAGCTTCGGCTCCCGTCCTTCACTTGTGTACTGCCAACAGATGAGCCCAATCAGGTCCTGTACCCTGGCGCTGGCCATGGTCACCACGGTCATTGGCAGCAGTCTGTCCTGGCTTGAGTGCAGGGGGAGGTAGACGTCGATCTTCTTGGTTGCCGTTGTGCCTACATGACCCTGTGGACAGAGCACATGCATGAGGGTAAAGCACACAGTCATGGCCTGCAGACCCTCCTGGGCCATGGAGACTGCTCCCTGGGGCCTGTGGGCAGCACAGTCATTCCCCATCCTTTCGCACAGATCTCCTTACGAGCCTAGAATGGTATTAAAGTGGAAGCACTGTCTAGTTTCAAGGTTTTTACTTTTTCTTTAAATTTCATTTTCTAATGACCTAATGTGTGCAGCTCTGCCACGAGTAAGGTGAATGAGTACGGTAATTAAAACGGGCAAATTAGAGTGGAGAGCAAACCTGAAGTTTGGTGTCAGGAGACTTGCTTTGCTACTTATTCGTGTGACCCTGGAAAAGTCACCATCAGACCCTGGCATCAGCCATCTGAAAGTTGCCACATCATCCTTAAGACCTCTGGCTGGCTGCATGGGAAGTTGCCATACTCTCTGAGGAAGCATTCCAGCCTGCAGCACTGGAACCTTCAAGGGTTTATCTTCTCAGAGACATTGGGACGTTAACTCCATTATGCAGTATATCTGTTTACTTCCCTCATGTCACTTGCACTGAAGTTCAAGGTTCCCTATCTTCCTTCACTGCCCTAACAACCATACCCACACTGCTTCCATATCCCCAAGCCCACCCTCTTCCCTCACAAACTTCCACTCGCCTCTAGAACTCCTGTGCTAATCAGCAAATGTCCATATATCCTCCCCCTTTAAAAAAAAAAAAAAATCTCTCCCCATGTCTTTGCCTAAGTGAAACCTACTGGTTACCAAGGCTCCTTCCCCAAAAGACCAAGACTGCCTTGCTTTTTTTCTTTTTAGCCTCTAAATCTTCAAAGTTAGGAGGGGCAAGGTAGACCCTACTATTTGTAAATGACTATTTCTCTTTTCTTGCAGAAATCCCCGTGTCTTTGAAGCCCAAGCTATCAAATACACCACCCTTCCCCCTTCCCCCTCCCCCCACCTTTTTTTTTTTTTGTCATCCAACCTTCTGGTCATTCTCCTCTGCGCTGAAGTTAAGCTCTTGGATCATAGTTTTCTTTCCCACTCCAGCTCCCCTCATCATTCTTGAGAATTTCATCTAAAGGAAAATCCATGCAATACCCAAGGATCTCCATTCCTAGAGCATATCCTCCCCAATGCCTCTCTAGAGAGAAAATAAGAAGATACCCTGCCCACTTCTCCCACGTTCAAGGCCACAGTGGGCGCCACTCTCTAAGTACTACAAAAGGCTCTTTCTCATTATCTTTGCATCCTCTAGTGTATGACCTTGAGAAAGTTATTCAATCTCTGGTCTTTCATTTCCTCATATCTAAAATGATGACAGGATCTAGCTAGCAGAGGACTCTTGCAAGGATTATTATTGTTACTATTAATATTATTCAAGCTTTAGCCCACGGAATACCTCTTCAGAGAAACCTTCCCTGATAATCCTATAGAAAGAAGTCCCGCTCATAGTTATTCTCACACATAACCTGTTTATTGCCTTTACGGCATCTATTTATGCATTTCTTCAGAATATACCTTTCTCACTAGCCTCTCAGGTTCCATGAGGGCAGTCATAAAACTGTCTGCTTTATTTACTACTCTCTACACAATAGCTAGCACTGTGCCTGGCACAGAGAAAACTCTCTCCCTGCAGAAAGAATGCATGAATGACTCGAAACACCACCAGGACACATAGTAGGAACTCAATCCATGTTTGTTTCTTCCACATTCCCTCTTGCCCTTCTATGACTCTGTTTCCTGGTAGTAAATGAGCAACCACGTGGTTGTCTTTAATACGCTATAACTCTATCATTCTAAGGTGGGAAAAAAATCAGAACTAGGGCAAGGAAGTATATAAAATGAATTTAAAAAGCAGTTTTAGAATAATCCCACTTCTCTTATACCTCAGCATCTAAGATTAGAACCATGATTTTTTTTTTTAACTGAGTCTTGTATCTATGTTGTAAAGCAAATGACAAAGGAAAACCTACACAATGTGCACACATACTTTATGTACATAGTGCACGTGCATACACGCACACACACCCATGCATGTTTTTCAGCTTAGGAATAATCATCCCAATGACTAGCAAGAACTCTTCAAACAGCAAGTGTTTTGACCTTTTCAGTCAGTAAAGGGTTAAAACTGAAACAGTGGAAATCTGGAATGAATTTATTGCCCTCTTATCACTCTCTTCTCAACCTCCTTTTCAGACCCAGTCCAGGTGCTTGTCATTGTTCTCCTTTCAATTCCTCCTCCTTTATCTAAAGAATTGGAACTAAAGGGCTATACTGGAATCACAATGTCTCAAGATATAAAGACTCCTGAGATGACAAATGTGAATGTGCTTCATAAACTGTCAAGGGCTTCAGAAATTCAGAGCAGCATGCTGGACAGAGTCTAAGTTTTGAAATCAGATCCATTTCTATTACTTAAGCCTATTACACAGTCACATGAAGCCAAAGATGCATGCTGTGAGGAGCCCTAATAATAATACTTCTAACAAGAGCTAGTGTTTACTTAAAGCTAACTGTTAAGTGAGTTCTGCTAAATGTTTGCCTAAATCATCTCATTTAATTTTCACAATAACACGTAAGAGGTAGAGTTCTATATCATTACCCAAATATTACAGATGAGAAAACTAAAGTTTGCAAGGCTACAGTCATTTCCACAAGATCTCATAACCAAAGTGGAAAGTCAAGACTCAAAAGCATGTCTGGCTGACTCCACATCCTCTAAGCGGTAATACCTTCTTTCCCTAAATTAACTCTAAATGTCATCAGTTTGCACTCCCCCCAGTCTTGAAATCTTGAAAACTACTTCCCTCTCCCTTTTCTTACCAAGGATTGTTAGGGAATTGGACTCTAAGAAACTCTGGTACTGCAGCTGGCTGCAAGATGTCACCCCTTTTTGAGAAGCAATAGCAGGCAATGCTAAGGCACTCTTATGAATTCCTTTATCCTCGTTCATAGTGAAATAGCAAGTGTAGGGAAAACCAGGAGAAAAAATATGGTAGATACTTATTAAATGAATAAAGCACTTTATCTTTTTAATCTTCTAATTCCATCTTGAGGCACTGATGATGGCAAAAAGTACCTTGCACAAACACTGAAATTATATATTTTTTAATAAGAAGCCTCTTCTGAAAAAAACTCAAGATGGTGGCAGTTCGCTCTAATAGTCCCTGTGTTGCAATATTTAGAGGGAATCAACTAAAACATAAAGCAATCCATCAACATAATAGAAAGAAATTAACTTGTAAAATAAAAAAAATACGGTGACCAAAGGATTAAAAGTATTCATCACACATCAAGGCAAGCAATATTCCACAGACCAAACATCTAACCCTTAAAAGGCAACTAGCAACCAACGAAGATCATGTTATGCAATTTTACTACATGGCAACTTATGTGTTCCACAATACACAACTGGAAAATGGAGACACAGAGGAAAGAGCCAGCACAGAGCGAGGACACTTATACATTGACAAACATCCACCAAAACCCCATTCTGCACCTTGAAGATGAAGTCAAATGAGACACATGTATTATTTTTATAATTAGAAACAAAGAAGTAGATATTATAATTATGAACAAAAAAAGAAGATACAAAAACTACCACACAGGGTTTAAGAGTGATAAGAAAAAAAAAGTGGTAAGAAAAAAAGAGGCTCTATTTTGAAAATATAGCCTATGTTAAGGCATCCAGCAAAATTTTATTAAGAACATACCATATGCCAGATGTGCGACTGTTAAAAAAGTAAGTTGAAAATATAACTTAGATAACTTCCTAAAATAAGTGAAATAATTTTTATCAATAAAAAAAACCACAATGAGCTGACAAATTTGGAGTCTTGGACAACTGTCTCTCGAATGGTCTCTAAATTAAAGAATATCCCTAATTCAGGTTTTAAAACAAAAGTACTTCTTATATCAAAACTATCCCTCAATACAAATGCAATTCATGAAGAACAACTAGACTCCAGAATTCGTATCACACGGCCTCTCCATGACTAGACAGCTCTGCAAATGCGGCAAAAATCTCAAACTCAACACATCCAAGCCCTACCATCTTCATCAGCTTGACTTGCATTCTATGTTCCATCGATTAAGGCTTTGCTGTCTACTCTGTCACTCAAGCTAGGGATCTTATCTCTGTCTGCCTCATCTACATCCAAATGCCTCTGAAACTTCCCTCAAATCTTCTTCCTTCTCATCCTCACAGGCACATAGACACCCCTGCAACAGTCCCCAGAGTAACTTCCTCTCTCTCTCTCTAACCTCTCCTGTCTCCAAACCTTTACCTCCTTGCTGCTATTAGTGTGATTTTTCTCAAACTGCTGGCTCTCCACATCCAACTCTAACTTGGCAATTAATACCCTTCACAATCTTATTGTTAAAATGATATGAGCACAGGGTCAGCCGAAGCCAGAGCTGAATCCTGACCCTGTCACTTTCTTAGCTGCTAGACCTTAGACTTTGGACAAGTAACTTCATCTTTGGGAACTTCCATTCCTTTTGGAAAGCAAGTAAGATGTACATAAAGTGTCTAGCACAGAGTCAAGAAATTTACCTCCTCTTTTGTTCTTCAATTCAAATGTCTCCTCTTCTAAGAAGATAGAAGAAGTATACATTAATTCCCTTTTCTTTGCCCCCATAACAATTTCAATTAGTCTTGTGTTTTTATTTTCTTTCTCTACCCACCCTCACCACATCCTTTCCACTCTCTCCTTCAGCTGTGACTCGCCTAACGGGAAAAATTGTGTCCATTTTGTACTCTTGTAGGGCCTAACAAGCAGGGGTGTGGTGTTATCTCACTGAATTGAAGGCACCTCTTAGATTAGGAGTCAAGATCCACCCACCAGACCCTATCACTTTTCCCAGATAAACTGGCTAGACTCTTCTACTTCCCAGGCCCTGTCTCAGGAGCCCCCTTTCTTCTCTTAAATATTCTCAGTCATAACACAGGGCTTGACATAGTTATATGTACATATCAATGAAAAGATTAACATTGATTT